CAATACTTAAATGCGAAAAATAAAGTAACGTAGTCGATTGTTATAGCAAATATACGTTTGCTTCATCGACGATCCCACCAAAGAATATGATATGGCAAAAGGCCTGGCTTTCCTTGAAATTCACATTTGTTCAGTGATCCAAAAGCACTCGTGTCAATGTGGTCGATTGGTTAACGTGTCAAGCTCCCATTCTGCACTGTCACGTTTCGACTCCCGCTGGAGATGTTGATAAGATCGATGCAAGGTCGAAACAGCAGTCTACCTTGTATGAGTACAACTTTTGGGAAAGCAACGCTATGTGAAATTCAATGGAAATATCAGCTCTACTCATATCATTGTGGGAAAATTCTACTACCAGTCCTTCGTCACCTTAAACAAAATAGGGTGAATACATCTTATATAACTATCAATTTTCCAGATTTCATATCAATCAGAAAACTCGCTCTTATGCCGAATACTTTAGAAAATCCTGAATTTTAGGCAAATTTTGAGTCTTTAATAAATGCCATTTTAAAAGTTTGTATATCAAACCCGATAGGAATCAGGATTCAAAACGCCAAGCAGACTATCGTCGTGAGCTGGAAGATATAGAGGCAAGAGTGAGCCGTCGTCCTTTGCTCATTGAGACTCAGGGTCATCGGGCAGCTGCCGAGCGCGTGGCGGCTCATTTTGATGCTACCCTGCGCCAGGCTGGTCTGGAGCCAAGCCAATTTATGCTGGCGAAGAGCACGAATCGGTTGGAACCGAAGTCGCCCGAAAATGAATTACCCGGTCTATTTCAGCGTTCACTAGTGGTTGGTAATGACAAAATAAAAGAACCAATCGAACGAACCTCACAAAAGCAAACTGACGATGAAGGTGAGATTTATAGTTATAAGTGAAAAAATAGGGTAAATTTGCACTATAAACTTTTTAAGTTTGCAGGAATTGATGGTTGCCAAATCGGATGTAGATGAAGAATTGACCTGAATTTTCTTCTTGATGTACATCTTTAATAAGATCTAGTTAAATAGGAAAATTAGTTCTGACCTCACATAGGTCTTTTTGGTGGCATGCCCATCAGCTTGGACATTTTATACTTACCTGAAATTACGAAGAAAGGGTGCCCCGAGTTCTAGTCTGCCTAAAATCGACTGTAGTTCAGTAAGCATTAGTCTCCTATAATGCATAAATACTATCATAAATTGTGCGTCAAAAGGTCCGAAAAAGTTGGAGATTTATAACTAAATGTATGCTTTGAGAAAGAGCATTGCCTTAAATTGCCAGTCTCAAGTCTTTAAAAGTTAAAGCTTCGCATAATGCTGCATTCTCTGCCCTTTGACAGAAGCAAATACTTTTACCAAAAAAGCTTTACAAGCGTTTATTTTTGGGACAGTTGCTATATTTCACTATTTGTATGATTCGCAGTATGCATCTTTCATTTTAGAATATGACGTAGACAACCACTTTGGAAGGTGTGAAAGTGAAGATGAAGATAGTAATTTGTTTCATCGACATACACCAAAATTTTAATCACATCTTTTTTATCCTCCATTAACCAAATTAAAAGGCCAGATTTTGATTCAAACTGTGTCATTAAATCACCAACAAACAAAATTTAAGGACCACATGTGGATATATGCTGAATCTCCCATTCAGTTTATTAACTGCTTAATCTCCTATCAAGATAGCATGAATTGAGCTGCATGCGTAAAATAGAAAATGTGAATTTTTGTTGACTGAAGAGGCAGAATAGGACCAGAAACAAACGATTACTCCGACGTTAAACTTTATCTGACTTACCTCATTGAATTCCTATATCAGATTAGCTGTATGCCACAAAGCATCTCCGGTGATCAATATGAGACCTAAAATCAGAGTAAGTGAATACGCACCACATTGCAGTTAATCTGTAGGTACGTATTAACTAAGAGCGCCATCACTAAAATATTTGATAGGGCAATACAAAAAATAAGAGATGTCTCTGATGATCAGCATAAGCATTTAGAGAAAAGATAGATTAAAATAGTACCCCAGTTGGGGCAAAATTTTTCCCAAAACTTCATTCATGCTCCCTTCTTTCGATAATTATTAATCGTCTCTGATATGCAAGCAAGTAATTGTTTTTCAAACAA